TTTTGGATGAAGTTTTTTGCCACTTTCAGCAACAAAATTTGAATTTCCATAGTTTTCACAATTTTTTTTGCAAAACTCGAAAACAAAGGAATTTCGAAAAATTTTATTTTTGAAGAACAATCACATTTTTATAGTACTTTAAACTGCACTACTTATTTTTTTTCGTAAAGTAATTAGTTCATGCAAAAAACGCTTAGTTCCATAATTTTTATTCACGCGGTATGAAAAAATTGAACTGCATTCGGTCAGCTAAGAAAGAACTCGTTTTTTTCACTACGTCGTACAAAAATAACACAAAAGACATTTTTTCACGAAAATTAGCCAATCAATACGAATCTGACAAAAAAAATCAAAAAAATTCTTCCAGAGTTTTTTTCGTACATAACAGTATCGAAATATGTACTTTAAAAATGTATTTTACTTTCATTTTTATTACAAATTTTACAAAGAATTGAATAACGAAAACATGTAATTTGAATTTATTTATTTTCGGTTCGAACTTTTTCGGCTACCATTCAAGTCTAGCTAGACTAGACGTCCCGGCGTCAACTTGATTCATCTTCGGCATTATCATTTCCGGTAAATTTGAAGGTTTCCAATGTACAGCGACGTTCGGAACGATTGGCCATTTTTCAGCTGACATTTTGATTTTTCGCAGCTTTCATAATCCACTGGAAAGGCGAAAGAATCCCCGTATTCAAACCAAATGTAGCATGCACCAACGGAGTCATCCACGTCATCGATGCCCCCTTCTTACAAGACGGCGACATTCGAGTCAGCGGTGCTCCATCTCTACATTTCGCACCCCATTTAATAATGATTTTGGCTGCCAAATGGTTATTACTTTAATGGCGTCCGCTTTTTTAGTCATAGACTTGTGAGAACTTAATACAATGTAAGGAGTTGGTCTGTGAAGAGTTTGCAAAAAAATTTTGATTATTTGGACCCAATTTCAATTTGTTTGATTTTTTAAGTGGAATTCTTCACAGATACTCTAATATATCAATAAACCACGTTTTTTGAATAATCCATAATCAATTAATTGCACCAATAAGCGAGATAATTTTTATCATACCCTGTTAGATTATTTACGATTTGTAAATAAGTCAATTTTTTTATTTTTGCATTTGTATATAGGTAGGACCCAAAATTAGACTATTTTTAACTACTCATAGAAATTCTAAACCAATTGGCGGAATACCGGACGAAGCATTTCAGATTATTTCACACAAAATACTCTAATCGATGTTAACAAAATCAAAATGTTTATTAAATAAAACTATGCCTTCTCATTTAGAGCATTATATGCTGTTGAATAATTTTCTAAAAATTGTTGACTGAATTGAAGTTTCTCTCTATATCACGTTTCTAAATGTAAAAATGAAATCATTTCGTAGTGCCCTTAAACTTATGACATTCCACTCTAACAACTGTTGCTTCACTTTGGTTAAACTCAGCTGCAGGGGGCGCTCAAGTCGGAAATATCTTGCATATCCTGTGTTAGCGCCCTTTTCGTACGTATGATTGAACGAATTGCTTATTTAAAATGTTGTACATACGTGTGGATGTGTATAAATGTTCATATTTTTGACAGTAAATGTTTATAAATGTTAGATAAGAAAGTTATAGGCTAGATAGGTTTTGCTTTTGGTAGTTTATTATAGGTCTTTGGGCACTGAAATGCTTCACATTTAATGAGAGTGAAATTCTGACGTCGAGGATCGGAAATTCGAGCACAATTTTTCTTTGGAACCTCGATGTGAGATTTTGCTATCGAATGAAACCAAAGAAATAGCCCATTTTGACTGAAATGTTTAAAAAATAATTAATCAATGTCAAATATAAATGTATAAGAACTGACCGTACCATATAATAGATGTTTAAAGCTTAACTATGTTAGGGAAAATTTCGAAACGTTTAGATTATAAATGTGTGTGTAAGAAAATAATTGCACTGCCAATGTGAACCTAAATTTTTTACGTAGTTACTGTTTTTTTTACTTGACCCTATTTTGACTTGTTTCGACTTGATTTCTAGCTAGGATTGTATATATAATTTTTTCCAATAAAGCGTTCAGTGCTCTTATTAATCGTGTTTCATTACTGTCAAAATTGACAAATCTGGTGTAAGTGCTAAATCTAAGTATGATTACTTTGAGGATATCTTTTTTACTAGCTATTGATTTGGAAGAACCTGTGAAAAAATTGCTCAAGAAACCCAAATTTAAGAAGAAATCTAAGTCGACGAAAGCCAAATCCAAATCGGGAAAGTCCAAATCCAAATCGGCAAAGTCCAAAAAGAAGCCCAAATCGGAAGGAAATGGCTGTTACAAGGTGATCGAAGTTCAAAAACCCATCAGTTACGTCCATATCGAGTACGAACTGTTTCCCAAAAAATTCAAGTACGGTGCTGATGTTATCTGTTGGGGGCCCGTAGCTAAAGTAACCCCCGATTCAATTTCTACGCAACTTTTATCAAAATTTGTAGATTTTTACCAAAAATGGGGTCAAAGCTTTCAAAACTGTGACGAGAGACAATACAGTTTGGGTCCCTGTGTTTCTGGAACATTACCTAAACCCTCTACCAACTGAAGAAATTCGAAAGTTGCTAAATCAAGTCATTAGTGTTAACATTAAAACAGGTAAAAACAGCGTTGGGGCCAAGTAAGATAAATTTTTAGTAAAATCAGACTTTAGAGAGTGGTTTTTAGAGCCAAAGCTGACAAAAAGAAGATTTTTTATTTGCACAAGGATGATTTTCATAATGATTTTTTCGCCGAATTGTACTCTGATAAGCCGAAATGTGACGATAAGGAGGAAATTAGGAAGAAAGCAATTGAACGAATTTTATTAAAGTTACTGAACTTTCCCGTGAATAATGAAATTGTTTCGTGGGCCTACAATATGGGTATTTGTTTAATTTTTGGGAAATGTCGGTAGTAGAAAAAGTTTCAGATGATGTTCATGCGTATAAAATTTGTCAAATTATAATTCGACGCTCTATCGGGCAAGAAATTCGTTGTAAGGACTTCAACGAAGAAGACAATAAAAAAGGTGCCAAGAAAGATAAAAAGACAAAGAAGAAAAAAGGAAAAAAGCCAGGAGGCGGAAATTACAAAGTTGATTTAAAAATACCGTCACATATTTTATTATCAGATCCTTTACTTTCAACGTTTCAAGTGAGAGAAACTGGAAATAGATTAAGGGATATTTTTATTTTAATTAGTAGTGAAAATATCTTAACAAGTTTCCAGAAACAACAGTTGTGTCCCTTGATTGTAAAAATTCGCAAAATTAATAATTTCCCGTTTGAGATTTTGATTCGGCATGGGTTTGACTCCATTATCTTATTTTCTTTTTGTGATCAATTAAATTTCAGTTTTTCACAAATTTATCTAAACTGTGAAATCCCAGATGTTTGTGAGTTTAAAACGTCTATGAAACCGGTTGGTGACACAATTCATTTTGATGAATCCCGCTTTGTGATCACGAGTGATTTACCCGAAATAAAAATTTTGGAAATGTTACAAACACGGCGCGCCATTTTGAAAGTAAATTGTAACAAAAAGCGCCGACTTTTGACCGACTTGTGGCCAGATTTTAGGTGTTCGAAGTATTCCAACCAAAAATCTGCTTCAAGCAAAAGAGAAGAAAAAGAAAAACAAGAAAAAAGAAAAGCAAAATCCGGTCAAAAGTGGCGACGACGTGTCCCTAGCTGTGGCCACTTTTGACCTCAGTGCCCTAATCAAATCCTTTCACTTATTCAAAGAGAAGGGTCAGTGCTACAACATGAGATCAGTAACAACGGAAAAGCCCCTAAAACTTGATTGCTATTTCATAAACCGAAGATTCACCATAAACGAGTTGAATCTGAGCGATTTTGAGAAAAATCCCCCAAATTCATTACTAGCCGACCAAAATTTGTTCTGGAGGGGCACTACAGTGAAATTCGAGGCCCATTTTCTCACTCCACCGCACCCCTTGTTCCATATCAAAGACACAAGTCATAGTTATAGACGCATTTTGCTTATTATTTTCAATCAAGGGGTCGCAAAATCTCTCTTTGATAATCTCCTCAGACACAATTATGGGATTTTGGGCCCGGGCCCCATCCTCGTCCCCAATTTTCTATCCCATCAGAAACGGCTTTTATCCAGTGCTGACAAGTTAAATTCTGAGAACGAACAAGTCTTGTCTGGGTTTTGCATAGATGACAGCAACAGTTTTATTTTTTATATTGAGGGACCCTCAAACGGATATTTTCTCGAAGTGGTGCACCAGATAAGTGGCTTGAATTACTCAACGGCTAAAGTGTTCTACAATTCTGAGTATTTATTTGAAAAGAGACTCTTTCAGACGTTTTTCAAGAATTGTGGTTTTTTGCTAATTAATTTGAAGTTGCCACTTGTTGAAATTTTTAGGCAAGAGAAGACTTATATCGAAGGGAATGTTCCCGTTCATTGCTTCAAGGCTATTCAAAAGTTGAATTTGATTCTCAATTCCAACACTTTTAAGTCGATTTTGAGCCATAGTTTGGTGCCCACTGAAATCGAATTGTTGTCGTTTTCGGTGGAGTATGGCTACCAGTTGAGGTACCATTTCAAGCAATTGAAAAGGAGCAGTTATTGTGACACCAAGGCGAAAGATGTGGACCTGTTTACCCAAAAAACATAATAAAATTCGTTCAAAAACTTTTTAAATTGTGATTATGCAACCGGCAGATGCGAGTGATATTACTGGTTGCATAATCTTACCACCTGCTTCAAACAAGTGTTAAAGTTCTTGTAGTTTTGTGTAATTTCTCCAAAAACATGATAGTCTTATTAAAACTGATCGACTTAAAAAAAACACTTATTTTAAAATAAGTAATTATAAAAAAAATAATTAAAAGGTTCCTTCTCCAAAAATTTTCCTTTCAAATTCGAAGGCCGCCTTGGCGAAAACCCCATTATCGTTGGATTTCCCCCCAAAGTTCCCCCACCGGAAGTGAATTCGCCAACAATTCGGCACCCGAAATTAAGAAGTACAGCGTCTCATCTCCCACGAGGCACCTCTTCACCGTCATGCCCAACCTCCTGGACCGGGCCGAAGACATCGATTTCGTAACGAAAACGGCCAGTAAGTCGTCCTCCGCCCCCTCAATAATTAAATTTCATTAAAAAATTTCCCGGTCACTTTTCGAAAATCGATAAAGCTCGACGCTCGGAAGCCGGTCGGGTGACGCACAAAAGTGAGGTTATGTTCCCGTGTCAGTGATAAAAATTGCTTTAAATTTATCAACAACCGGGCATTTGGGCCCCGAAATGAGTTCCCGTAGGTACCAAAACAGGCCCAGATTGCCCTACACTGAGTCACACAACCGGAAATGCATTTTTCGGGTTTGGCAATTTGGCAACGTTTTGATGTTTTTTACGTTTTCAAACTAATCAATAATTGTATTTTTGCTAACGATGGATTTTTTAACAGTCGAAAGAGATCCGAATAAGAGGAGGGTTAAGCCGGTTGAGACCCAAGCCTCGATCTTGGATTTCGATCTTGAGGAGGAGAGTTCAGATGATTCGGATTTCCGGATTGAAGACCACCCGGAAGTGAGTGATGATGACGACTCCGGGAACAGTGCCTCTGGCGGTAACAGATCAACAATTCTCAGTAATTAGGCTCATTTTTGGCCATTTTTTAGGTAATGATAGTAGTGGCGATGAGGAATCTGAAGGCTCAGATTTAGATGAATTGAAAAACTTGAATTTGCCCAATGGTGATGGGCTCTCCATTGCGGATGTTATCCAACAAGCTAATTTACAATTAACTTCAGTAAGTTATTTTTCTAATTTCCAAACAAAAAAGTCTAGTAACTTTAACTTTTTAATGTTGGATTAATACAACATAAGTTTTGAAAGCAAAAAAAATATTAATTAAAAAAGAAAACTAAAAAAAGAGATTTAATTAATGCCCAAACCGGCTTTGCACTGTGTTTCATTAAAAATAATAAGTTTTTCAATTGACAATTTTATTTTTAAAAAATCTTAGTTAATGTTGGTATTTGTTATTTCACTAAAATTTAAAAAACGCCAACTTGACTTAAATAAAAAATTAATTCGGTGCCATTTTCTTCAAAGTTCAACGAAAAAGACGCTCAAATCCTCATCTGCTGCGGCTGTCTCGGCGACCAAAGCGACGGCGTCAACGAAATCGTAGAATGCGACTCTTGCGGGGTGACCGTCCACGAGGCCTGCTATGGAGTCTCAGACTCGGCCAGCTTGAGCAGCACAGACTCCCTCTCGCCCACAGCCCCCTGGTTCTGCGAAGCGTGCAAAGCCGGCGTCATGAACCCCGTCTGCGAACTGTGCCCCAATTCGGGGGGCATTTTCAAGGAAACAGACGTCGGCAAGTGGATTCATCTCGTTTGTGCTCTCTACGTCCCCGGAGTGGCATTCGGCGAGGTCGATAAATTAACGAGTGTGACACTTTTCGAAATGCCTTACAGCAAATGGGGGGCGAAAAGTTGCAGCTTATGTCAGGATGAGCGTTTTGCCAGGACGGGTGTGTGCATTGGGTGCGATGCCGGCATGTGCAAGACTTATTTCCACGTCACATGGTAGGGGCATTAATTAATTAAACGATTTAATTTAATTGTCTTTAAAGTGCACAAAGAGAGGGGTTTTTGTCGGAAGCTCACTCCGAAGAAGTGGATCAAGCGGACCCCTTTTACGCCCATTGTAAATTGCATTCGGACAAGACTTTGGTTAAACGAAGACGGAAGAATTACCTAGCGTTGCAGTTGCGGACGCATTACAGGAAACTGCAATTTGAGAAAGAAGGCCATAAGGAGACCCCGGAACAAGTGAGGATTCAGAGGAAACTCGAGAAGCAAAAAATGCATTTTTTGAATCACAAAGCGTTGAAGCCGCCTCCTTGGGGTAAAATTGTTGTTTCATTGTTTTTTTTTTTTCTTGTGATAAGAGGGATGTTTTAGTTCCGACCCAAAAAATGCCCAGATTGCTGACCACCAGCGCATCAGCTTGTCGTAAACTCTTACACAAGGCTGAATTAATGGGAATTAACACCATGGTCCTCGAGATGCAAGAAGCCCAAGCTGCGGCCTTGGTCGATGTCCGGAAGAAGTGGCACATTCCTCCCGCCTTCACCGTCGAATTTATTGCTTATTATCTCGACCGCAATGACCGTCTCAAAGGCATGAAGCAAACCCTCGAAAAATTACTAGAAGACAACCGCGATTTGCTCGAACAACAACAACATCTCAGGACGAAATACGATGAGGTAATTTAATAAACAATCACTAAAAACGTATTCTCAAACTCGTTTAAAGATGTTGAAAAAAAGCGCTGATGAAACTAAGAAAAATATTGACTTGAAACAAACGATACATAAGTATCATTCGGCGATTTTGAGCGCTTGTCCTACTAAAAATCTTCCAAATATCGAGGATTTAGGTAAGCCACAAGTTACGAGAACTAATCAACCTATGATGGTCCCAACAGCAGCCGCCCTGAAAATGGGAGTTGGTTTTCCTTTGAATAATATTATTCCAGCTGGGAGAACCGACCGCGTGTTGAGCAGTCACGCTAAACAAGGTAAGGGTCTCAAAATTCTAACACTAGTGGCGTCACCAGTAACTAAACTTTTCACAAGAAATTAGTTTTGCTTAAAACTCTACTTCAAAAAACTTTTGCTCTTCCTCGGCTGCCCCAAGTTGAAACACTAACTATTTTTTAATTAATGTTTTACTGGACCCAAATATGACATTTAAAAAGCCCTTTCGAACGACTTGCTTTCTACACATTATTGTAGCACGATTGTCTTCTCGCACAGTATTAAATGTGCACTCAAAAAATCACAACATGCACTCACTACACCTTTTTCAAGTGTAATTCAGATACGAATTTAGATTAGTCAATTTAGTTTCAGAAAGAGTAAATTATAATTTAGATTAGTCAATTGTCTTTCAGAAAGTATTAATTGTAATTCAGAAGAGTAAAATGAGTTTCAGAAACTGAGATGTAACTCAGATTAGTTAATTTAATTTCAGAAAGCATAAATTGGAATTCAGATTGTATTTCATAAAGTAATAATTGTAATTCAGAAACCATTACATGTAATTCAGAGCAGTAAATAAATTCAATTTCATGTTACATATAATCCAGAAAATATCAAATGTAATTCAGATGAGTAACTTGCTGTTATCTCAAAATGAAGTTTACATATAAACACGAATTATTTTATTTTTAGAATTACAGAATTACATAAACTTGGTATTTTACAAAATAAATAAGATATTTTATTTTCAAAMGAATTTTGGTAATGTAATTTTGAAATGAAAATAACGGATTCTGAATTACAATTGACGAATTCTCAGTTACAAATGACAAACTCTGAATTATAATTAACACTTTCTGAAATACAATTGACTAATCTGAATTCCAATTTACGCTTTCGAAAATTAAATTAACTAATCTGAATTATATTTGATAATTTCTGAAATTCATTTTACTGTTTTGAATTACAATTAACACTTTCTGGAATACAATTGACTAATCTGAATTACAATTAATGTTTTCTTAAATATATCTTACGCTTTCTGAATAACACTTAAAAAAGTGTAGTTATTACTTATTGCAGTTTCTGAAATAAAAAAAAAAATTATTCTGGAAAAGAATTAAATTCGTACATTACTTAGAATTGTTCTTACTGTTTCCTTAAAACATAAAAAGTCCAAGGTTTCGTTAAAATTGTTATTAAAGTAAATTTTGAGGTAAATTTGCACTCGTCTTCAGAATTTGAGAAATAAAAATTTTATGTAAAACACAATTAATTTATCACAAATTCACACACTTCACTTGGCGATAAACAAAAAAATTAAAAATAAAAAGTGCACTGACCTTGTATGGCATCTTCTTCTGCTACCCTTTGTAGCAATTCGCCTCTGCTTCTTAAACGGACCTACAGAAAATAAAGAAATACAAAATCAGTTTAATGTGTTATTAAATAAGTTGAAAATATGAAATAAAATTTAAATACTTTTCTCAAAAAAATTAAAAGGTACTGTTGACTAACCCTTTAATTCGGATCCTTGTAGTACGATTGCTTTTTCCATTTTCCTCAATTGGCACTCACTAATGACTCGAAATTTTAAAAATTGCGCACTACTAAATGTCTATTAGACACTCGAAAATACCCAACACTCACGCACCATTTCTACGCAATTTCGCACTGAACTGAAAATAAGTAATTTATTTGGACAATTATTACAATTTAAGTAACTCGTACGAGAGCTCGGCTAAGACTGACTCGTTATTGTAATAATTCCTTCAAAAACGGCAGGATCCACAAAAACTCGTTTCGTAATAGTGGTTGTGTCTTTGTTCGGGACTACGTAATCACGCAATTTACACCGAGCAAAGGCATTTTGCGCTGTTTTTGAAAAAAAACAGTTTTCTGAATTTTAAACAAAGAATTGCTAACAAGTATTTATAGGAATGTAAGCGTGAAAATAAACCAAAATATGTAAACAACTCATTTTTTTAAATTGTTGGTCACTGTATTCTGCTTGGGACAGTCATCCTTTTATTGATAATATTTTTAATAAGAAAAAGAACTATTCTGCAAAAAAAAGTTGTGGGTAATTCCCTGATATCTTGGAATTTTCAGACTCTCTGATGCTGAACGAGTGCGGCATCTGTCGACAGAAGCGCGACCAGCATTTGCTCGCAAAATGCGACACTTGCCACCTCTATTACCACTTAAATTGCCTAAATCCGCCCCTGACTCGTCTTCCGAAAAAATCGAAACTGTACGGTTGGCAATGCTCCGAATGCGATAAAACTTCCGATTCGGAAGTCGAAGAGGTGAAAACTCCACGTCGGAGCAAAAGTCGCTACAGTCGTGAGGCACGTTCCGATCCGGAAGTTGCAACTCCCAAACTCAAAATCAAACCGGTGGAACCAGTTTCGGAACCTACACCTGAAGATGTTCCTATTGAGACAAGTCATAGTGAAGTCGTGAGTGAAATGAACGGGTTTCAAAGTTTGGATAGTAGCAAAATTCATGTATCTAAGTCGGGGAAGAAGCGACGGCGAGAGAAGCACAAGAATCGGTATTCTCCCGAATTAGGGGTGCCGAGTAAGGAACATAAGAGGAAGAGGAAGAAGAAGAGTCTCGATTTTGATGATCATATGCCCCATCCGAGGATTACCATCAAAGTAGGTTGGGTTATTACAGTTTCCTGTAATTTTAATTTTTGTTAAATAGATCAAACCGATTCCCTTGCCGGCCGGAGAGGTTGCTTCCGAGTCGAACCCGCAGTGTTTTTACGTCCCGAATGAAAACAATGATAATGCGCCACCTCCGGTTTCACTCAAGGTTATATCACTGCCAGAAGAAGAAACTTCACCAAAAATTAAAGAAAAGATTCCTGTTAGTGACATTTGTGATGTTTGTCAAACCATAACTGCGTCCAATACTTCAGTCAGGTAATTTTTATAGTGAAAAATTAGAGTGGTTTTAATCGGTTTCCAGGTGTGACGACTGTCAAAAAACTTATCATTTCACCTGTCTCGATCCACCGTTGAAGAAAAGTCCGAAAAAAAGGGGCTATTCGTGGCATTGCGCCGACTGTGACCCTACTGTAAGTTACCATTGATAAAAAACAACAAAACCTGTAATTTGTTTTTCAGGGGTCCGAATAGTTAAGTGTTTTTCTATTACTCCGAATTAACTTAATTATATTTAATTGCGTTTGTGAAAATAAAAACTATTTTTTCTGTAACAACTTTTATTACAATTAACAAAACAAATCAAAACGTTACAAAACTATCTAAGGCATTCAAACTGGCAACATGGTTGTCGTTTTTCACCATTTCACAGAAATGAACATTAGGTATCGGGAAACCAATTTTATTGAAAACATCAATTCTCTTAACAAGAAAAAATTTCGAAGGGTGTTTCTTCTTGTAATGATTTAACAGTTGCTGGGCCGTTCGAATCACCGCTTCTGTACTTCCCCGGATCAAGAAATACAAAAATATTAATTGAGGGTGAGTGTCGAGGAATTCCTGTAAAGAGGGTAGAGTGATTTTATCAATCTCATCACAAATTAAAACAATTCGTTCCAGTTTTTGTGTGTTAATGAGAGACAGACGTTGGAGGAGTTTGTCTAACGGAATTCTGTGATTCTGAAATCTGAAACAATCTATTATTTAATAATAAAAAAAATATTTTATTCACCTGAAATCTCTTAAAGATGTCGCGTGTGGAATAGCTAAGGCCAGATTCATATTTAATTTTTCGTGTTGCGACAATGATGTGATTAAGAGGCGTTTCAAGTGTTTACAGTTTTGTAAAACCTACAAATTTTATTTTAATTTTTTATGCCTAATGAGATAAATAATACATCTATTAGAAAACTGCCATCCAGAGTAACCGGAATTTCGACTTTTAGACACTCTAAATTTTCAAAAATTGTAATTAGGGGATATGCTTGTATGGCACTATAATGGGATGTTCTAAAATTTTCGTTAACATTTTTTTCTAAAATTTTTAATAACTCACTGATTACACGCGAAAACTTCCAAGTGTTGCAATCCTTGAAAATTTTTAAAAACATCTTCCATTGGGTGATTTACACCTTTATTCATTATCCCAATTCTCTTCCGTGTGAGTCTATTAGAGTCTTCAATTTTGACCGCCTCTTGGGCATCTTTATCTAAATAACCATCAGTAATAATTACAAGAAACTGTAATTAACTTACTTTCAAATAAACACATCATGACGCACAATTTCTTAAGCTTGGAGCTACAGGAAGACTTTAAGATTTGTGACACTGCATTTCTGCACCTATCGTTGCAAATGGGGCCATTGTGGTAGAAATTAAGTTCTTCAAAAAACATCGTATCGACGTTGCTTTCATTCAAAAATAATCGCTAAAAATAACTCGGAATACAAAAAAATTCGACCAGAAATACTCACACGTGCATCTTCAGGCCCGTAAGGCTTTGAACAGTGTAATTCATCTAGAATCCGCCAACTTTCCTCCGAACTTCGCTCAATTTCAAAAATACTCTTCGACCGGAGTTGTTTCGCAGTGAATTTTTCTAAAATCGGAATAAGTTTTTGGAAAGCAAATAAGAGTAATACTTGCCACAGCACATGACATAAGGTTGACTCGCTCTCCTATTATTATAATAAGTCGATAACCAATAATGGTCAAAGTTAATGGACGGAGTTGGGGCCTTTACTTGACAAAAAATCTTATTTTTATTGCCAGCGTTGAGACAGTGGAGGATTATTTCGCGGCCACAGGGCTCCTCGACATCAATCCAGAAATTTTTAAGCCCGGGGAAAATCATATCTAACACCAGTGGACTTATCAAAGTCGTTACTTTGATAACACTGAGATATAGGGTCTCGATAGTTGCGATTTTGTGAGTTCCAAGTGCATCGTTTCGGTTCACAGAAACAGCCAATTTTTTAATCTAGAAATCAAGGCATGATTATAAAACGGCTTCAGTTTGTTGAAACACACCTTTGATTTGCTAAAAACTTCAGTATCGGTAGACGTGAGGCTTAGATTAGTCTGCATAGCGTACAAAGTCTCCAAATTGACAAGCTTGGCAACAAATCGGCGCAATTTTGTCGCAGACACCCAATACAAACAATTGACATTTAGTGACGTCACATTCTCAAAGACGATTTTTTTAGATAGTTCGACCAAGTCCGGTAAAGTATAAGCTTTATACAAGTCGATAGACCTGAAAACATGTTACAATAGCATGCACACACCTTTGTTCATTGCTTGGTTTAGTTAGGCCCACCTTTTGTATCATATAGACCTTGGTGGAATTTTTTCGAAAAAAAGCAATAAAACATTAAATAGTATCATTTACTTACCTGACAACGTCCCTGTCTTCCAAAAAGTAATCACACTCATAAATCTCACAAAAATTTAACAATGTTACAGTATTAATTTTGCTTAAAATATAAGTGAGAACTTCATAGGGTAAACTGTAAAAATACGAGTTTTTGAAAGCTTCAGACATAATACTACTGATATTTAATAAATACGTAATTAACTACAATAAAATAATGCCGGACTTGTGAGGTTAGGAAAACCCGTCAAAATATTTTTGATATGAAATTTGTCTGTATACCAAACGTTTGGTCAAAATTTTAAAGCCAAACACACGTGTTGTTTCCTTGTCTCGTATTTTGCAATTCGTAATGCAGATTACTACAAAGTGTAAATGATAAATCACACTATAAAATCATAAATTAACCTTCAAAGTGTAAATAGTTCAATATTTATTTTTTGGTGTGTTGTCCATGTGACTGAATAACTCAAATCAGCTGATCTTCAAAAATAACACAAATTTTTGTTATTATTTGTCTTTATTTGAATTGAATAAAGCTTAAATTAACAATTTTAATGCATATTGAATGTAAATATTTAGGGTTTGCAATGATGCAAGTATCGGGGGTACAGACAAACTTCTCTAATGTGGTATCTGTTCAACAACCAACAGACAAATCGCTCCAATCCAAGGCCGTAGCCCCCATGGGGACACGTCCCGTATTTTCTTTGATCCGTGTACCAGAAATACGGTGTTGGGTCTATGCCTTCCCGTTTGTACCTACACAAAAAAGAAAAAAATTGAAATAGAAAGTAAAAAAGTGAATTTGTAGTTACCCTTCCATAAGTTCCTTCAAATCGTATATCCTCATCGACCCCCCAACAATTTCGCCAACATTCGGCAACAAAACATCCACACTTTCGGTCAAACGCGAGTCTTCCGGGCATTTCGACATATAAAACGACTTAATGTTTGCAGGAAAACGGCACAACATAATCGGTTTGTTGATCTTATCAGTCATTTTTCGTTCCGGCATTTCCGGAATATCCTAAACAACCGCTTAAGAAAACGATAAATTTTGTGAAATAAGGGACAAACCTCTCCAAATTCGTAAAAACTGCCATCCTCTTTCGTGATATTATTCTTCTTGAGGTAGTCAATGGCATCGGAATAGTTCATTCGAAGGAATGGTCGCGTCGGTACTTGGAAATTAGGGTTGAGTTCGTGGACAATGTCACCATACGGCGACTTCAAAACCCGATCAACAACATCACAAATGAGATCCTCGAGACGGTCCAACAAATCATTGAATGAAATAAAGGGGCATTCGGCCTCCACATGTGTGTATTCGGCCAAATGCCGCCTAGTCCGACTCTGCTCAGCTCTAAAACTCTCGGCAATGCAAAAAACGTCCCCCATTGACGGCAAACACGTTTCCAAGTACAGTTGCGAGCTCTGTGTCAAGTAGGCCTCCTCCCTAATTAATTGAAATTAATTGTGGCTCAATTCCGTAATTACTTACCCAAAATAATCCATTTTGAACAGTGTCGACCCCCCTTCGCACTGAGTTTGGACGATAGATGGCGGAGTCACTTCACAGTAACCGCGATCCAAGTAGTGATCCCTACAAAAATCAATATACAGGCTGTAACTATGTTTAACGTTATTTGTGGCTTTTATTGACAAAAATTTTGTACTTTTACTAAATAATTATGAAATAAACATATATAACATTAAATTGACATAAAAAAATCAAATGTCAAATTTTTTGACAAAGAATTTTTTTTTGTGGTGGTTTTGGGCCTTACCTGAAGGCCTGAAGCAGGACAGATCTCATTCTCAGGATTTTCGACGTGTTTTCGCCTCTTATCATAATGTGGCGATTTTCAGCCTGGACGTCTGGTAAAGCTTGCTCGTTTAGTATCGAGTCGGCGCCGCCAGGTGGCGCTAACCCAATCAATTCCCAGTAGTCCACAGCCAACTCGTGTCCCCCAGGCGCTGTTTTACCTTCTGGTACTTTCCTCAGAGTCCCATAGAGCAAAATCGACGACTCAGTGGATAACACAAGTGCGTTATAACTCTGACAAAGTTTATCACTTAAGACGCTTTGCAGGAACCCAGTACCATCCCTCAACGTGATAAACATCAGGTTTTTTCCCTGTCGTCTCAACCTGTGCACCCACCCATAAATCTTCACTCTTTGATCTCTGAATTCTTTGCCTTTAACGATTTTGATTGGTTTTGCCGCCGGAAGGGATTTATCTTCAGTGATTGCAATTTTTTTCGCTTCTTCTAGATTCTTCTCGCGTTTTGCGGCGTCTTCTTCTTCACGATTCGCCGCAACGGATTGCTTGTGCGACTCACGAACCCAAATTTTTTGGATTTTCTTCAGTTGGGATTTTGAGGCAGGTTCGAATTTGATGCCTTCCTTACCGTCGACGTAAATTACAGGAAATGGTTCCGCTCCAGCATGGCGCATGGCTTGGAGGATGGTTTTGAAGGGCTTGTCTTCAGTGCCGAGACCAGAATCGTCGTTTCCGGTTTTCTCGGATGTGTAAATTGCTGATTTATTGAAAAGAAAAAAAAAAACAAATATTTGACTCCACCTTTACAAAATTTATAATTTTGGGTCCTCTTAATTAGCTAATTAGCGATTTTACTTTAATTTTAATTTTCATTCGAATCTAGCTTAAGAAATATTCAGATTTATAAAAATAATATACAGGATGCGCCAGAACTCGCGCCCCAGAGAAAAATGGAACATGGAAAAAATGTTAAAAAAATTTTATCTATAAAAATTTCGAAGTTATGAGGGTTTAAAATTTGCACTTTGACTCTATTTATTTCTGTTGGAAAAATAATTTTCCAAGTTTTTTTGCTATAGACTATTAAATGAGAAAACAAAGAAGCTGTATCCTAAATTGTTAAATTGTAACTCTGTTCAATGTTATTTGTGGCTTTTATTGGCAACATTTTTGTCTCTTTACATATACAAGATAATCAGTATCATTAAATGGATATAAAAAATGTCAAATGTCAAAAAATAAATTTCAAAATTTTTTGACAGAATTTTTTAAACATTTTTTTCATATTTGTATCTTGAAAAATTTCTCTGGGGCGCGAGTTCTGGCGCACCTGTATACATAAATGTGAGGAAGTAAAATAAAATAAAAAATTAAATTTTATAAAAAAAGAAAAAACCGGTAAAACAGTTGTGTCAAAGCAGTCTTTTATCTAAATACAGTTTTTCTACTTCATTAGTTAGCCTTGTGTCAGGCTGTAGTGATTCATTTATCTTTACTGCACTTTTTTTCATAACAAATATTTATTCAAATCGTATGTGATATAAATAAAATTCTTCACAAAACAAAAGATTGTAAATTTTCCCTCTAAAATTATGGTCAAAGTTGGCATTGGGAATCTTGTTGTCAATTTTGAACGCTTTTCCTATATGGTGAGTTTAATTTAATAGCAAAATCAAATTAAAAATATATGATTTTTGTTTTTTCCCTGTACAAAATAGTGGAGTCTCTTGACATTAAATTTGTCAGTATGACACAAATGGCTGTTAAAACGTGACAATACTGTAGCAAATATCCTTTTTTATTCCTTTTTTCCTACCAATTATCTAAAATTTCTAACTTTAGGCACAAATATTGTATAAATATGTACTGCACAAATAGAAAAAATAATATTTGTACTTATTTTTTTTAAGTATTGAATATTCCACAAATCTAAATTAAATACATATTATATTATTGCATAAAAATTGTTATAAAAATAAAACTTAAATAAGTAATAACTCTGAGAGTAAAGACATTTTTTTAAACTAAATAAATAATGGTTATGACAATGTGGCAACCTAGCAAAGTGTACATTTTTGGACACCTTCCCCTACTAACAAAATTGCTCATACCGGCTGAAAATTTACATTTTATCTCTGTTTACAGCATTTAAGCGTTAAGTAAGCAAAACTATGATAAATGTTGCAGAAGTGCACTAATAAAACACGACGCAGTATTGTAAGTAAACTAAATTAAAAAAAAGTAAACAATATGAAAAAATTGGGAAAAAAGTAAAAACCTATTAAGCATTAGCAAAACAGTGAAATGCGAACAAAACTGGACGAGGTTCGAGGTACCACAGTGTGGCTCCAAATTTCGAAGAAAAACTCAAAAGCCGGTGTTCCACTCTGTCCTTAGGGGGCAATATTCTCTGTAAAAATACTCACGATTTCCACTATCTCCAGACATTTCGAGTTCACAAAAATCTCAAATTAACTGTCCCCCGATTTCAACTAATTCACGTTTAATTCTGATGCAATTGCACGTCACTTTGGTTTTTGACACAGGAAACCGACCTAACCTCAAAGACAGCGTCATCTCATTGGTCGATTTTGACAGCCGGCAAGTGTGGGGTCAGGGTCGGTGTAAGGAGGAGACCAAAATAAAACCCAAAAATCTGATAACTAGAAAACAGTAAAGGAAAATGAAACTCGAGATTTGAGTGTTAAAGCTGTGACTTTTGAGGGTTTGTTGGGGTAAAATGGGTGAGTTTTTACATGGTTTTGGGGGAAACATTTGAAGCCTGGCCTGGTGACTATTTTAGCAAGACATTTGAGGTGATTAATAGTGGAAGGTTGAGTAAAATGGAACATTTGAGGGATTTCGGAAAAGTAGATCCTGATTATGAGAGTTATAAGTCTGCTCTGGAGTTAAATGAAGAAGAAGGTAAAAATTATTTGATGTTTTGGTTAGGTAAACTAGTTGTTTGTAGATAAGAAAGAAAATTTAATTAAGATAAGGAAGATTATTGAAGAAGCATACAATAAGGAAATTCTCGAGAGGCAAGAACAGATTGAACAAATTGAATTACAAATATGCAAAGTCCGCAAAATTTTACATTTATTACGCTATGCCTTAATTATGTCCTACTACAAGAAAAAGGAATTGGAATACAACGGCAACGAGGACGAAGCCTCCACTTCCGACCCCCTTCTCACCCCTGATAAGCAAAGTCGCATTCACCCTGCCCTCAAAAAACTCCTCGGCAAAAATATCAACAACCTTGATCACTTGAACCTCAAAGACAAACGAAAAAGTACTTCCAGAAGCCCCCGTATCCCCGAACCTCCAACCCCCCCAGAAAGCAAAAAAATCAAACTCGACCCCGATATCCCTCAAACACCCCCCAAAACCCAAACTCCGGAATCAACCACCCGAAACCGGAAAAAAACGACACATCGCCTAGTCATCGGCAACATCTCAAAATGGATGCCATCATCGGAAGACGATCTTTTGACCCACAAATGGATGGTGTACGTCCGGGGCCCTAAAGACAACCCTGACGTGTCCCATTTTGTCGATAAAGTCGTTTTCTACTTACACCCGTCGTACAAACCACACGATGTGGTTGAAGTTAGGTAAGCAACCCTGTTATTGGCCAGCTGATAGTCACGTTATTTTTTCAGCGAATCGCCGTTTCATTTGGCGCGTCGTGGGTGGGGCGAGTTTCCAGTTCGAGTACAAATCTTTTTTAAAGTGATTTTAAATAAGCCGATCGATGTTGTACACAATATTAAGTTGGATAAGACTTTCAGTGGGAGGCAGACGTTAGGGAATGAGACGATTGTTGATGTTTTTCTTTATGATAGTGATGAAGCTAAACCGGAACTTGAACATGATTATTGTTCCGGTGTTGAGAAGAAAATTGAAGAAATTAATTTTGATCATTGTTATTGTTTGCCAGCCTCGAGTGAGGGCTTGCCTAAGGTGAAGAAAGAGAAGATTGAACAAGACGAAGACAATAAACTAATCTACGGGTTGGAGTCGTACTGTGGGGAAAATCACGAGAAAATAACACCAAATCAATTAGTTTTAAATCGGAAGGATATCAGGTTCAATAATACGAAAATTCTAGTTTTCGGGAAAAAACTAGAAGGTTGCGTTTTGACCAAACTTAACCAAAATAATTCGAGAAACACAAAAAATGAGACGAATAATTTTAAATTAGTTTTGCCTTCGCATCGTTTTAAAAATATAGGGGAGGCTTTACCTTATCTCTTCAAAAGGTTGCCCCTTTTTAGTGATTTAGCAAATAATACTAACTACAAACGTATTTACCCTTTTACTGCCTCTAGTTTGAAAGAATTCGTGAGCTGGAATGTGGGCAAAAGACGAAGTTCGGAGGTTTGCCCCATTTTCGTAACTTCAAGTTTATCCCAATTTAAATTTCAGTGGAGTCGTGCAAGACTTATTAAAAAAATTCTAACTTCGGAAAAACTTTACGGTTTTGAAAATTGGAATACTAAGGCCATTTTGATGTATGGAAGGTCACACGACTACACACCATTTATTTCTTTTGGTCTTTTTAATCGAGAGTCGGAGGAGAAAAAATTGCTTCTGTCGTCCTACTCCTCTGATCCAAGCATTGGTCATTTTCGTAATCATACGAAAACAATTGAACAACCGGAAATCACAGTTAACATTGAGTCAGACTCGGGTATTTATAATTGTGTCAAAATTTTTTTTTAACCGAAGTTTTTAGAGTCGCCGAAGAAAAATCATTCTGTGATTGACATCACCGACCCTCATTTAAAACTCGAGTGTTCTTTCATCCGCCAAACGGCCCTGGATTGTGGAATTATCCTCAAACCGGAGGAAATCGTAGAAGGAGTGAAGTTTAACGGTGCTGAAATGATGATTCTCGAAGCTGTGAAATGTCTCGCCGAGAATCTGATCCGGCGAGGGAAGAATCATAGAGTTTGTACGAGAATTATTTCGAGGTTCGTTTTGTATCCTGAGGGTATTGTTTACTAACCCTGCTTGTAGTAATTCTAGTACAAGTGTAATAAGTCGGGAGGACGTCGAGATGGCCATTAATGAGCGGCCGGAGATGTTCTCGTTGAAACAATTCAAGAACGAGAGGAGAAATTTTGAGTATTTCTCATAAAATGTCCGTGATTTGTGATTAAATACACTATTTTTCCAACCGATTTGTTTTTTACTCGGGAGGCTTGAAACACAACCCTTAATACATATGAGTCGTCTTACTTTTGAATTGCGCTGTACACGGAAAAGTTTGTTTATTTTTTAAGATTTTTATGACTAAATTGCAATATAACGACTTGGAACATTGTAATGTCTTTTATAACAAAAAAAATGCATTTATATAGTAGTTGATTACAAAGAAGTGGGATGATTATTGATTACTTATTGATTTTTCTTTTATGCAACCAACAATACTTCCATAATCAAAATTCAATATTATACAAATACGAAAATCATCTGCAGCATTATTGAGATAACGATAAAACCTACGATGAAAGTACTAGTGATATAACTCTACGTATAAAATTAGTATTCCTATCTCATATAAATTTAAAAAAAAACGACTCAACGAGTCGTCCCTGACTTTTGGTCATTAGGTTATGGTTTTGACAGTTTAGATTTGAAAAGTACAAAAATCACATTTGTGAATGCAAAAACCCGTCTTGTATTGTCGAGAAATAATCACAAGATCGCCAAAAATCACTTTTTTGTAATATTAAGACACCTAATTCATAATTAACGTGCATTTTTAACGTAAACCTAGTTTATCCCCCACGTCAAATTTTCCGTCTCAGTCACACATGATAAATTGCATTAAAAAGCATCGGTCTATCTCCGTTGGCTGAGGACGCCTAATTCTAGTCCGATCTAAAAATAGACATCAAGTGTCAACAAGCACAAACGGTTTTTTAAAGGGAAAATGTGGAAGAAAGTGTAAAACGGCGATTCTTATCTAATTTTGTAGTGAAAAGTTGTAAAATTTGTTGAAAAAGACGTCAAATGCCGTGCATTTCGTACTAGAAACTAGAAAACTATAAAAATTAAGTTAAACCTGGAATCGTGCTATTGTATAGGAGTTAATTATTTATCAGAGAGAAGGCATTTAGCTCACCTACGTGTAATCATCTTGTCATTTTTGTCTCAATTTCGTGTTTGGTAAGTTTATATTTGAATTTAAAATTTGAGGTTATGTTATGTAAAAATTTTAGTTTTTCGTCCAGCAATGACAGAACGCTACTCGTTTGCTGTTGATACTAGCGTCTGGAGCCAAGACAACATTGACAACGTGCACTCGACCCTCACAGACACCATAAATGAGAGCTATGCAACGGCCGTTGAAGACTCCCCAAGTCGCTATTTATCAGTCTTGGACTCAAGCGGCGAAATGTCGCTTGAGAACCTCAACATCACCTTGTCGAACCCTAAACTGGAAGTGGAAGAACCGGTGGAAAATTTCATCCCTGAAGAAGTTCTAGAACAGCCACAAGAAGAGTCAAATGAGCAACAAGTTGTAATCTTTACAATTGAGGGCTCCGACGAGTTGTTTGGGATACAAGTAGCGCAGGACGAGGATGGGAATTTACAAAAATATCAATTCCAGTTCCGGTAACTTGACAAAACAAAATAACGTACCCTTACCGGCGTTTGTCTTAGGAAAAATGAAGAGGGGCAACTCGAGGCGATCCCCGAGTCGATTCAACTGCTGCCAATGGACGAAATCGAAGAGCAGGAGGTTGTGGAACAAGTGGAGGAAAATGTCCATTTGTTCCTCCAAGAGGAGAATTCCGCTGATCACATTTTACCAGACAACACACTGGTACAAGAGCAAGAAGAAGAGTCCTTGTTGTACGAGCCTAATGAGGTCGAGGAGGAAACGGTGGATATTAAGCCTGGTAAAATTCCAAACTCCACCGTCTTAAAACCTCATTTTTGTGTTTTTCAGCCATCTTGTCACTACACAATGTCAAACAAGAATTGCAAGAGAGCCAGTCGGAGTACGCCATACCGGAACCAGTCAGTGAAGAACCTCCTGAGCATCATCTCGACTATGAGGAGAGTCCTGAGCAAACTCAGGACAATTTAGAAGAATACAATGAAGAAGAACCTTTCGAACATGAAGAAAATTCCTCTGAGTCGGCGGTTTTGCCCGAAGCTAAGGTTTTCGAGCACGTAGAAGTGCAACCTGACATGGAGATAACCCAACACGAACCACCGGAAGAAATCGAAGATTTTAACAATGAAAACGTTAATGATTCTGACGAAAACGATTACCAGATCGTAGAAGGCATGCACATAACCGGTGACGTTGAAACAAACGAAATAAACCCAGTGGATAAACAAAACACTTTCAATAGTACAAATATCTTGAAACATGTTGTGAAATCAAATAAGGACGCACATAAATTAAAAAAAGACAATAAGTTGTATTTTTACGTGGTTCAACATCCGGAAAAGGAAAATGTCGATTCTTTGTCGTTGGAAATGTCAAATTTATGCCGGCCCAAGGTCAATCCCAGGTCAATATTAAAAAGTTCCCATGCAATGTTTCAAAGTAAGAACGAAATGGAAAATGTTGAGCAACAAGACGAGAGATTAAATAAGAGATTTGCGAGGTGTAAAGAGGCTATGCAAGCCCGAATTTTCAATAATTTTATTAACAAAACGACGATTCCGCAAGCCCCAATCAGACAAAGCCGCCTGCCCAGGAAACAGAAAATCAAGCCTTTGGAGAGGATGGACGAGGAGATAGTCGTGCAGGAGGTTATGGTCTCATCGACTGGATTCGTAGACACGACCTCTGGAGGTAATCCCACTTGGTTGTTTTTACAGTTGTAGAAAAAACATTGTATTTCAGGTGTCAATAAGGAGAACCTTGAGGTGACCGAATACGTGGAACTGACCGACTCTGATGACGACTACGACCCGAAAAAAGTCAACCGGAAGAAGAAGAAACACAGGAGGAGGAAAATCGAGATAACCATAAGCGATGAAAGCGATGTTTCGAACGACAGTGTCATTGAACTGAACGAAACCGACGACGAAGAACCGAAAAGTCCCGACGTTCCCAAGCGCCGTCGGGGTCGTCCCCCTAAAAACAAACCTACCGAAACGGCCTCTAGTGATTCCCCGGCGAAAAAATCGCGAGTTGAAGCGATTGACAATCAGACTAAACCCGAAATCCCTTGTCCGAAATGCGAAAAAACGTTCCCTAGTCAAAATAGCCTCAAAACACATCTCCAACACCATAATCTTCAAAGTTCGATCAAAAACGCGTTACCTGAGTCGAAGTACAAATGCGACGATTGCGCAATTTCTTTCAAAAACAGTGTCTTGCTGAAAAACCATAAGTGTTTGAAAAAGTTCACTTGTCCTGTTTGTAAAAAGAAATTTCCTGATACGTCGAGTTTGACCGGACATAAACGAATCCACGCGAAAGAACAACTCGTGAAAACTACAGCCGTTGCGCAGGTGTCCCCTAAGAAAATGAAAGCTGTGCTGCCAACTCAAAAAAGTCCCCCGAATAAATGTAAAACTTGCGGAAAGGTATGCTCGTCGGAGCAAAACTTGAACGTTCATGTAAAAACGCACAAGGAGTATATTTGTGGCAGTTGTTCAGCGTCGTTCATTTCAAAATTTATGTTGGAGAAACATGTGAGGGAAAATTGTGTAAAGTTCAAGATGCCTCAAATCACGAGAAGATCCATGAGGATCAAGAGTGCCTCGGGTGTGGAGAAACAACAATCACCGAAAAGCCCCAAAAGAGCCTCCTTGAAGACTGGGGGGAAATTGTCTTCACTGAAAGTGAAGTGTGACAATTGTAATGACCAATTTGCGACTTATAAAGCACTTATTCGGCATAAAGTGGTCAAACATAATTTGGAGACGCCAGATAAGGCGACTCTGAAAAAGGTGGAGGTGAGGAATAAGTTCGATGGGGGAGTACCAGCGGCGAAGAATTTGCAGAATGTTTGGAGTAATTTCAAGTGCGAATTGGACTTTTGTGAATAATAATGTAATGTAGATTTGTAAATAGGCTTATTATGTATATTAGGCATGTATTTTGTAATTGTAATAAATTTTTCAACCGTAAATGCGTAAATGGTATCTTTCACCATCAAGAATAACAAAAAACATTATTTTGGCTTACTTTCAGTATTAAAATACTAGTTTTGCAGATTTGTCAACAAGATATTACAGTTGGAGACAAAATACTTTGGTCGTCAATGTCACTTGAGTGACATTAATTAAATTGTAAAGCATGCTTTAGGACTGTTAACCTTATTTTTAGCTACTGTCAATCATAGTTGCCAAGTTGTACATATTTTTGATAGCTGTCATTAGTTGGAAATTGACATTCATTTTAACGTTAAAGCTTGAATTACTTTAAAGTGTCAGAAAAGTGACGACCAAAGTATTTTGTCTCCAACTGCACCACCTAGGATTTGAACTTTTAGGAAAATTACGTTTTTCATGTTGTTTGTAACTAGACTTTTCAGAAGTAATTTTGTATGCCTAGGGTTGGTTACCCCTTGTTGTTGACGATTGACGTTTTCTGTCAACCTGCTGTCAAGTAGCAATACAAGCTGACAGGTGACTTAATCTAAATTTTGACACTGGTTACGACATTTTTTGTTTGTGACCTAAAACCAAATTTATGGCAACCTATTCACGAATATCCCTAAATCCAAGGGAGTAATTTCTTGTTGATACGACAATAGAGTCGTGAGCTTGAATAATGCAAAATAACATGTAAAAAATTTCAAATTTAGCGCGACTAAATTGGAATATACGTTGGCAACAGTCTCGCCAATGCCACTAAATAAAAATCCCTATTTCATTATTTGCTTTAAATCGTGCTAAAATTTCAAATAAAAGCCTTCCGGTGCGTAAATTCGGTTATACATTAATTCACATGCCAATGTCTTGTATTTTCCGACAAGAATTTCCTTATCGTTATCTCGCCGTATCACCAAATCGCTCATTAAACGTTATCCAACTTGACGAAAACAAGTCAGTCAGTCGACTTCAAGGTTCATATTGAAAAACCGAGAATTATTTATCTAAAAAGTAATAACAAATCACAGAAAACAGCAGTTTCCGCGGCCCGCGCATGCGCACACCGACCCTCGTAATCGAAAAGGGGATTTTTTGACGCTCGTCCTTCCCCGTACACCCCCGCCGTCGCCATTGTCTGGGAATGGGGAATAACCTATTTCTGTGGTAATGACGCAAAAGTGTAAGGTAAGCATAAACTTGTTTTATTATTGCCCGAAACGGGCTCCACTTTGCACAGAATCCGCTCATACATTGCCAAATTTTCAAAACAAGTGCCAAAAGTGTAGGTTAGGATGCTAACTGAAAGTCCCAGCATGTACGAGCCTGTGCAGATTGGTAAGCCTGATTTTCCGAGTTTTAGTTGTTTGGCCGGTGGGTGATTTTCGGTGTTGCAGATATGAGCAATTATCCGAGTATTTTGACCCCACCGTCGAGTAGTGAGGATTCGCCACAGGCGCTTTTTTATAATTCTCCCCCGGCATGTTTACCAATGTTGCCGCAGACGTCGCAAGCGTTTGATTTCGATGGGGTCACGCAGCCGCCGCCCCCTTTCTTGCGGATTCTTGAACAACCTATTGATAGGTTTAGGTTTAGGTATAAGTCGGAAATGACAGGTACGCATGGGAGTTTGTGTGGACAGAATTCAGACAGGAGTAGGAAGCAAACATACCCTACAATTGAAGTAATTTAAATTATTTTTTTTAATTAAAAAGTAATTACAATTAATTGTAGCTGTGTAATTTTAACAAAAGAGCAGTAGTTAGGTGCTCTATTTACCAATACAACACTAGAGAAAATCAAAAACCGCATCCTCACAGACTAATTAAGAAACAAGGGAAAGGGGAAGTTGATGACCCACATGATGCTTACGTTTCACCTGAAGAGGGTTATATTTACACGTAAGAGTTACCAGTTGTAATGGTTAAATTAAATTAATTAACTTAAAATAATTCCTAGGTTTCATAGTATGGGTATTATCCACACAGCTAAGAAAAATCTAGTGCCAGAATTAGTGAAGAAAAAGACACAACTGAAAAAAGAAGAAGTCGCAAGACTTGAAGGAAAAGTGCGTGAGTTGACTCAAAAGGAGGAAATTGAGGTAAGCACGTTATCATTTTTATCTGCTGATAACTTTGGGTTTGATTATTGTGAAGTATGTCTGGGTAAAGAGGAGTTATGCAATCAACAATACACTAGCGTATGCTAGGTAGTCTAATCTAATCTAGTCTAAATTTTATCAATTCGCAAATTTTTATATTAAATTCAATTGAATGTCGGTAGACTAGCTTACTTATCTTTCTAGTTTATAAACACAATCAAGTGGATACATTGTTGCAAATGATAAACGTCGGAAACGCTGATATTGTGATGTTGCAAAGTGAGACACTGTGAGAATTGCAAGCACATTCTTTTGTATTTTTTGAGTGTTTAGGACGTGTTTTTTTGTAAGTATTAAAAGTTGTTTGAGACAAATTGATAAAAATGGGGTAAACGCACATAAAAATATTTTATTTGGTAACATTTATTATCAGCCTTTCATGAAATTTCATGAAATTCAGACCTATCTCTCAATAATTATGTGGCTTATCACATTTTTACAACAAGCCCATTATTTGCATTTAATGCAGCCATTGTGTTATATTAAACTTTAAATTGGGCGCCAAAAGTGTGTCCGCCAATGTGAACGCACCTGGGTGAAAATGCACCAATCACGTGCGACCACATTTATGATAAGAAAAATGGCAGTATGATGCAATTTGAAAATTTTTATTTAACTTATTTTTTAGTGAATATAACTAAATTTTGTGTAGTTTGAAGCTTTTGCGAGTGAGTTTCATTATCATTTATAACTATTTAGTCCGTATTAAGTAACGGTGAGTTATTTGCTGATAAAAGATAAGAGAAATGCAACCACGATTGTGATGACTGTTTCAAATCGCAAAAATGATAAACTAAACTTTGATTGCTTTATCACACTATAGACAATAACCGACAATAACTTTAAATTTGCAAATTAAAAAATATATTAGTTTAAGGTGATTTTCGCCGTGGTTGAACCATGTGTCTTTGGTGTGAGTTAAGACACTCTCAAATCAGCGAATGCGACCGTAAGTTTCTTTACCCAACCCTTCACAATAAACATATGTGGATATCTTCACTTAAAACCCATTTATAGAGTCACTCGAAGCTATCTGTCATGTGTTTAGTCCATTTTTCCTTTCAGATTAAAGGATTGGCTGAGGCTGAAAGCAAATTCGTTAATCTGAATGTTGTTGTCTTGCGATTTGATGCTTTTTACGAAAACAATGGGATACTACATCCTATTTGCCCGCCGGTTTATTCACACACGATCAATAACTTGAGTAAGTATCGAAATAAATGTGAGACATTTCGACTTTTTCATTTAAATAATTTTCTCTAGAAAGCGCCCTGACTGGCGAACTGAAGATCGTCCGGATGGACCACTGCACAAGCCCCGCAAAAGGGGGCCGGGAAGTATTTATTTTGGTCGAGAGAGTGACTAAGAGTGAGTCAAACCTCTTCATTTTCAAATTTATTAATTATTGGGTTTAGAGAACATCAAGATCCGGTTTTATGAGTTGGATGACGACGATAACATGCTGTGGGAAGAGTATGGTCGTTTCAGCGACCTGGATGTCCACCACCAGTACGCCATTGTTTTCAAGACACCCCCATACAAGGATCTTAACATAAAATCCCCAGTTAAAGTTTTTATTGAGCTCGAACGGCCGTCCGATCGCGCCCGAAGTGAGCCGAAAGAGTTCACATACACGCCTAGTTCGAATGTCTATAAACCGGGCTCGAAAAGGGCAAGAACGAGTTATGACACCAGTTATGACTCGTCTTTACCTAGTGACGAACTACCACTACCGATCAGTAATCTTTGTATTGAAAACTCCCCGAATTTGCTCGATGATGTGCAGCTTGAAGTCACCAGTGATGACTTACAACAAGCTATGGCCAATATTAATTCCGAAGAGTTTCGTCGATTATTTAATGAGTATGGACAAGACTATTCTTTGGTGGTGGACGCGCCTTCGCGCGGTTTGAAAAAAATCGCCCCCAAGACTGGTAATAAGAACAGGTCAGGATTTTTATCCTCTATTTTTTCTATAATTAAAACTTTGTTTTTTAGACCAATTAAAACACCGAAATCCAACCACCAAAGAGCAGACAATAGCGAAGACATAGTAATGGCAAAACAAGCAGTGGTGGAGTTGCAAAACTTCATAAAAACACGACCAAGTGACGAAAAAGCCATCAATATGTTGCGTCACCACTTAATGACTGAGGAAAAGACCAAGTAATGATTTAACTGATTTGAATTCACTAATTCAGTTGAAAATTTCAGTGCTTTACACGTTTCAATTAAACAAAATGAGCAAGCTGATGTCATATTTTTACTAAAAATGGTCTACGTTTGGAAGCAGTACGATTTAACAAACATTTACAACGACCAGTGCGAGACTGCGCTCCATATCGCCACTTGCATGCATTTGGAAGAAATCGTTTCAAATTTAATTGTTTGTAAGGCCGATGTTTCGATTGGAGATTCCGATATGAACACGGCTTTACATCTCGCGGTCACCACTAACGCACCGACGACCATTTTTGAAAAATTATTATCGTGCGATAACGTCAAAAGTTTCATCGATAACGAAAATAATGGTAATTTTCAGTTTATGAGATTGTACGTCTTAGTGACTTTTGGTTTGTAGAAGGCAACACCGCTCTCAATTTAGCGATTGAGAATGCCAACATGCGAGCATTAAAATTACTATGTTTCCACGGCACTGACATTAATAAGCAACACAATAAGAACGGTTATACACCTCTCAGGTTTGCCATTGAGAAACAAAGTATTGATTTAGTTGATTATATTTTGCGACATGAGAAACTCAATCCGATGATTGAGGATTTCCAGGATATTAATCCGTTACAGGCGGCCATGAAAAAAGATAACTCGGCCCTAATCGACCTTATTACCGAGTTTATGGTATTTATCTCGACTATTTTTATTTTTCTTTTAATGTGAAGTTAAATTTTTTAGCGCAAAAACAACTATGTTGATGTCGAAATTAAAAACGAAGTCGAGGATTACTCAGATGAGGAAATAGAAGAGAAATACTCCGTGAAATTGGAACAACTTTCCGCTGAAGAATTGCGCGCGTTGTATGCAGACGTGAAAAATTTTACTCCCGAATGTTTGGAAGAAATTTCACGCATCTTGGATGAGTCACAAACGTGGCAAAATCTGGCCGATTTGCTTGATTTGGGACACTTAACACGTTCAGGGCTGTGTGACTTCAAAAACAGTCCAACAAAGTTGTTGCTGAAAGTCGCTATTGAGGTTTGTTGGGTTCAATCAAGTCACTTGGAAATTTACACTTCTATTACAGACAAATGGCGACACTGTGTTGCAAATTAGAGACTTTTTGGAGAACCTGGATGAAACGAGGGCGGTCGAAATAATTGACAATATGGTCAGGACGCAGTTTAGTTAGTTTCCATTTTTTAGTTTAGTTTCATCATGTTTGTATTAATTTTGTTCTTTTCATTGTTTTGTCAATTCTATCTTCAATAAAACATAATAAAGATATTTGTTTAATAAATCGAGTAGGTGTGGTTATTGACCCGTAGTGACACCTATCGGAGAAGTTAGAAATCAAGGTTAATTTTGGATTACCAGGTCAGAGGTCTAGCGATAAGAAATCTAATTCTTTAAGAAAACATACAAAAAATTACCACGTTTGAGAATGGCTTCTCTAACATCTTTAATTAAATACACGAAGGTAAAATTTAATTACAATTAAAATAGGCATAATTTGGCCGATTTTCAGTTGTTTATAAACAACGAATTTGTGGACTCTTTAAGTAAAAAAACTTTCCCAACTCTGAACCCTACAAATGGAGTAAAAATCATCGATATTTCCGAAGGGGACAAGGTATTAAAATTCGGATTTTTTTTTAATATGGAGAAGACTTTAGTATTAATTACAGGAAGACATTGATAGAGCCGTCCAAGCGGCCAAAATGGCATTTTCTAGAGCCTCCTCATGGCGCAAGATGGACGCCTCTGCCAGAGGCAAACTCATCAATAAGGTCTCTATAAAAGGCGCCAAATTCAAAATTTGAAACAAATGCTTTCAGCTCGCCGACTTGATCGAACGCGACATCAATTCACTGGCAAAACTGGAGACTCTTGATAACGGCAAGCCCTTATCAGACTCAGTGTTTGATATCCAGTGTAGCATCGACGTCTTGCGCTACTATGGGGGCTATTGCGATAAAATCCACGGTAACACAATCCCAGCAGACGGCGACTGTTTCTCCCTCACTAGGAAAGAACCGGTGGGTGTCGTGGGCCAGATCATCCCCTGGAATTACCCCATTATGATGCTGATTTGGAAATGGGGCCCTGCGCTGGCTGCCGGATGCACCATGGTGTTGAAACCGGCCGAGCAAACGCCAATCACGGCTCTAGCTCTGGCGGCTTTGGTCAAAGAGGCGGGGTTTCCCCCGGGAGTAGTGAATGTGGTCCCCGGGTACGGGCCCACAGCGGGGGCGGCGCTGGCTCTACACAAAGACGTTAACAAAGTTGCTTTCACTGGATCCACCATTGTAGGTCCGATCTGAAATTGCCCGGACTCTAGCCCCGTTTGTTACAGGTGGGCAAAAAAATCATGGAATATAGCGCGCAGTCGAATTTGAAACGTGTGAGTCTCGAATTGGGAGGCAAGAGCCCCCTTGTTGTATTCAATGACGCTGATTGTAAGTAAAAAACACTCCTGAAATAAATTATTGGCGTCCTGAAAATGTCAGGTTGGTATTTGAAAATTTTAGGGATTTTAAAATACCAACATTAACTAATATCTGGTAAAAACAAAATAATGTCAATTAAGAAAATAAACAATTGTTTCTAATAAACCCCATGTGGGGGGAACACAGAAGGGTACAAAGTTGATTTGAACGCATTAGTTCATTTATTAATTTAATTTTTTTGTACCAACCTCGAAAACGAAAATTTACCAAATTTTGAAAACCAAAGGCGCCAGTTGTTTTAATATTTAGTTCTTGTTTTTACAATTATTTTTTTAAGTGGATGAGGCTGTGGAAATCGCCCATAATGCGATTTTTGGTAATCACGGTCAGAATTGTTGCGCTGGTTCTCGTACTTTCGTCCAATCGGTCATTTACGAGGCTTTTGTACAAAAGGCGGTCCAAAAGGCCAAGCAGAGGAAAGTTGGGGATCCGTTTGACTCTACTGTGCAACAAGGGCCTCAAGTGAGTCAGGGTTAAATAAAAATGTTGTTTAATTATTGTGTTAAAGATTGACAAGCCGTCACTCGATAAAATCTTGCGACTGATTGAGTCGGGAAAGAAGGAAGGAGCGAAACTGGAAATCGGGGGTTCCCGGATTGGGTCTGAGGGGTACTTTATCGAACCGACTGTCTTTTCAAATGTTACTGATGCTATGAGTATTGCAAAAGAAGAGGTGAGGTTTGCATCACGTTTGGTTGATAGAAATAAAATAAAGTGTGTTAGATTTTTGGGCCTGTACAAAGTATTTTGAAATTTGACACCCTGGAGGAGGTTATTGAAAGGGCCAATGATACGTATTACGGTTTGGCGGCGGGTGTTATCACCAAAAATATTAATACGGCCCTGGTGTTTGCCCAAGCGGTCCAAGCCGGTTCTGTTTGGTAACAATTTGTTATTATTGTTGTTGTAAAATTTGGTTTGATTAATTTTCGTAGGGTGAACTGTTACGACTATATCCCGCCTCAAACGCCTTTCGGGGGGTACAAAATGTCCGGAATTGGGCGTGAAATGTAAAAAACTTATCTCATTTGACAAGAAGTAAAAGTTTTTTTTAGGGGGGCCGAGTCTCTGGATGCGTATGTGGAAACTAAAACCATTTCCATCAAACTGCCAACTAAAGTGTAACCCCTACACTATTTTTCGGAATATAAAAGAATCTCAATTCTGTTTTATTTCAATTTAATTAATTAATAAACAATCAACTACAAGACATTTATACAAATTATTCCTTTGGTGGAATTCCCAGTTCCTCATCCGACCATTTCCGAGGGTCAGGATAATCAAATTCGCCCTAAAACACCCTTAAAACTTCCACCCCTTAACTTGAAAACTTACCAAAATATGGCCAGGTTCCGTCCACAAATGCCACAAAACCCACCACCAAGCAACCCCTTGTATCCCTTCAGCTAAGTATACCATCATTTTTGGGGGTTCGGGCCCCCGACAACGGTAATTCCACCTAAATATTGTCTTGAGAAATTACATAACCACAAACGTCGATACTTACACATGAGAGGAGTTTCGCACCGATTGTAGGTTTTTAGGTGTGCTTTGTTGGAGGAGTTTAGTCGCCCTGAGAAGGGGGGCGCCCCTGGAGAGCAACATTTTGGAGAAAAATAATATTGTGTCAAAGGATTTGAGAGGTTAAGCTTAAACTGTCAAAAATTATTCAAGGTTATAACTGTAATGTTAGTTGCATAACTGTTCTTTTTTATTGAAATTCATAAAAAATTACCGAAAAATAAAGCAGACGTTATTTCCTTCGTAATTTGTATAATTGTTAAGTAAAATTAAAATTATCATTAACTAAAACTAAACCTTCGAGTGCACATTCATGTGCTTCTTCAAGTAGGACTTCTCCAGAAACCCTTTCCCACAAATGGGGCAAATATGACACCTATCCCCCTTATGTATCCTCTCATGTACTTGCAAATTGTATAAATTATTAAACGCCTTCGCACACACGCTGCACACGTAGGGCTTGACCCCCGAATGCACAAGCAAATGTTGCCTCAATTGGGGTTTCGCAATGAACCTTTTCTCGCATTGGTTGCACTGGTAGGGCTTCTCCCCCGTGTGCCGCATCATATGATTATAAATGTTCGACACGTAGTGGCCACAAACCGAGCACAGCGTTTTGGCCCCTTTCAACTTGTGGATATTTCTATTGTGGTTGTAAAGCCCACTCGAGTGCTTAAAAACCTTCTTACAGGTCTTGCACGGAAAGCGCGTGTTTACGGCTTGTTCGACGGGGACGCAAACATGGCTTTTCAATTCGTCTTTATCTTTGAACGTTCTGAGACAGTGGTGGCACTTGCAGACGCGGTATTTCACCGAATATGTGACATTTTCAGTGTGGATAATTTGGTGGCGGTTTAAATGTTCCGGATTTGAGAATCTTTTAAGACAGTAGCGACACTCGTGGGGCAACTCGTCGTTAGTGTGGGTCAAGATGTGACACTCGTAGTTTTTTTTGATGACAAACCCTTTACCGCATTGGTCACACTTGAAGGGGTACTCTTTCAAATGTTTCACCCTATGAGTGTTCAAATGGTTCAGTCTTTTGAAAACGCGTTCGCACTTATCGCATTTGAACTCGCTTTGTTTTCTATGGATGTCAATATGGACGCGAAATTCTTGCACTGGAAATTCCTCATTACAGTAGGGACACTTGTGGATCCTCTCAGGACGTTTAAAAATAGTCTCGCGGGGGCTATCAAGATGCCGCCTTGTCGAAAATTTTGTTGTAGGAGTCACTTTTTTGTCAGGCGGGATACTGAGGTATTTTTTCAACCCTTTGTGGGTATGTGCATGGTCGCGTAGCTCCAAAGCGGTGAAATCTTTAGTACAAATAGGGCAAGAATGTAATATTTTTGATGTTTCACAATTTTCGCTTTCACTTGAAACTACTTTTTTCTTCCGGCCACGTTTTTTCGAATTCGTGCGTCTTTTAGCAACATTTCGCGTTTCGTAATGAATTTCAGTCTCACTATCTGATCTATTGTCAATTTCAATATCACTTTCAGCGTCTTCTTTCTTCACGTAACTGGAAACAAAGTCTTCTAACAACTTGTAGGCCTCTTCATACTTGAGAATAAAGAGATAAGCGACTTTCAACTCGTTGAGACAGTCGTGGCAGATGATTAGAGGATCAAAACTCGCATTTACGTCCTAAAAGTAGCCCCAAATTTACAAAAACCTAAAGAAAAGCACAAAATAATCACCTGTGAAGTTACTCGTGATAAAATATCAGCAATACTGATAGGAGAAAGGTCTATGTCTTTGAATTCTATGATAGAATTGAGGGCCAAAATGAAACTTTTTTCTTCTAAGCAGAATTTACAAATTTTTTGGAAATTCTCTTCCGAAACAATGCCCCTTGTAAGCCTCATTGTCGTCATTTTCATTTCTAGTGCACTGTTATACACATTTTTGATTTATTTTGATCTTAAAGAAACACAACAAAATGCTAACCTCAAAATTTGACATTTGTTAGTTCATCTATGGTTACAGTACAGTCATTGCAAAAAACAGTGATCCATCCACAAATAATGCTAGTCTCAAATAAAATAGCACAATGTAATTAAAATCAACAAACTGGTTTTTAAAAAAATGCCGAAATTTGGATAACTATTTTTTTAGTCAGTAATAAATTGGCATTTTTTGTGTTATTCAAATACAGTCTTTGAATTTCGCGCCACAAGTCGTTTGCCAATCACTTTCGCCAAAGCCAGAGCGGATGGGAGTACCAAAAACCAACGAACGCCATGACATATTGTATTTTCGGTGTTATCATTATTTAGACGCAAATTCGCAAACTTGGCATTAAAACAAACCCCTAATCCCTAATCTGTAAGTAAATCAACCCGTAATTCGTACAAAAATTCAAAAATTTCGATCTTAATGGCCACCATGAAGTGATGACTTCCGCTTGACAACAGGAACAGGAAACCTTCGTCCAAGATGGAGGTTATTTTCCTGTGCGACCTATTTCAAAAATTTTCTCACAATTACCAATTTCTTCAAAAATCAGATAAAATGTTGCTTTTTGTAGATCATGTTAAAATTCCCGATCGGAGACGCCGATTCGAAGGAGAAAATTTTCGTGTCAAACAGTTTTGGGGCTGTGGATGGGGCCGATTTAATCCCAGTATGTCATGTAACAAAAATCAACCTCAAAATTAATTGAAACAATTTTTAGATACACTGTGGGGGCAGATTGATTACACCCACTGTTTCAGTCAATGAACTAGGAAAACAGTTACTGAAAGCGGCGGCTGAAGGCAATGCCGAGGAAACCAGAGCGCTATTAGACAGGGGGGCCCTCTTTACGGCCGATTGGGTAATATTTTACCATGGCAATTAAGCCTATTGTCATAGCAACTAAGCCTGTTGCCATAGGTTATTATTCAAATGTCAAATCATGTTACTTTTTAGTTAGGGACCAGTCCGCTTCACCTGGCGGCGCGCAATAACCACCTGGAAGTAGTGGAGATCCTCCTTGCGGCCGGGATTTCCCGCGATGCTCGTACCAAGGTCGACAAGACTTCGCTCCACATGGCTGCTGCTGAGGGTCACGTGAGCATTGTTGAAACCCTCCTCGAGTATGGCGCAGACCCCGACTGTCGTGATTTGGTACACAAAATCCATACTTTTATATATTTGTCGTAATTTTTGATTAGTTAGGGATGACACCGTTGCATTGGGCGGCCCAAAACGGCCACTTGGAATGCGTCAAAGCCCTACTGAAGCACTACGCCCAAACGAACGTTGTTAATAAGTTCGATTTGACGCCAGCAGGTGTCGCTACGCAAATAGACCGACATGACATAGTCGCCTTGATTAATAAGCAAAGCGGGGAGGTGGACGAGCCGACAAATGCGGCCCAACATTTGACCTTGGAGTTGATGGAGAATGGGGATGAGGGAGGTTTGGAGGGGTTGGCGCATGCGTCGGAGTCCAATTCACCGATTCCGCTAGGTACGAGGCGGAGCCGAGTGTGACACCATTGTTTAATGTTTTTCCAGAAACAATTTTAATGGAGGATAATGAAAGTTCGATTGATCCGGAAAAGCTACATTTGAATAAACATCCAGATGAGCAAAACCAAGACTTCTCCGAGTCGATGAAATTATTACAAGAGCACGGAATTACGATGCTCCCGAATGACGATAGTAATATTTTAACGACAGTTATGGAGACTGGACATTCAGTTGTGTTAACCGATGCTGGGAAACAAGTTTTGAACGCGTTTAAAGAGTCGGAACAGAAAGCAAATTCCATAAATAAAAAAATCATAACTGTCACACCGCAAGAGTTTTTGTCGATGACGTCAAGTTGTAGGAATAAGTCGAAAAATATACTTAAACAAATCAACGGACGGCTTGTACCAAAGAATGTGAAACGGATTGTGATGAAGAAGAATAAAGTGATCCCGGTTTCGACTGTAAATAATGTAAGTTATTTTTGTGACAAATCTGTGAAATATTATTTTAAATTATTTTTCAGATATATAAAATTTCGGGTCCTAATGGCGTAACGGACATGGAAACCGTGATGACGCAGTTAATCGAAGCTCGGAAAACGATCGAAGAATACAAAATAAAGCTACTAAAAAAAGAGCAAGAAGCCGAGCGATACAAACAGCAATTAATTAAAATTATTAATGGATGATAGCTAGTATCGCTGTTTTGCCATATTTTTAATTGATGGGTTATAAATAGCGCAAAATTGTCCGGTTTTTGCCGGAAATGTGCTGTTGGTGACTCGTTATCTGAAGCGTAATTAAACTTAATTACTATTTTTGTACATTAATATACGAGTCTTCTTGTATTTTGAGAGTGATAATTTGTGTAATTTATTTGTTTTGAATTTTTTGTAATGTTGTTGAACTAATGTTGATAAAAAATACTAAATGAGAGACTTGGCATTTCTTATAATAATTTATTTAAGTATATGCAATTATATAATAACACATTTAAATACCCTTGATGAGGTGAAATCGTACGAATAGGGGAAAACATAGAGATTAACACAAACTTATCAAATAAACGTGTAACTGAGAGTACTTAAAGAATACATAGATTTTTGTTTTTTAAAAATTTACTTACACTGTTATTGAATACATACTGATAAATCGTGACTGAAAAAAATTTTGAACCAGGAAAAATTGTACAACTTGATAGAATATTTAATGAGTTGCAGACAAATCAGTTTTTTAAATATTGTAGGACTGAAGCAACTTAAGAACGGTACGCGTGGCTGTAATTTAGAAGCACAGAAAGTAGCTCAAGTATATAATTTCCTGCCAAGGCGCTAGTCGATAAAGCTTTGCTCCACACACGCTTTTACTCGTTTCTCGTATTCTCTTCTGTTTTCTTTGTAGAGTTGTGCGGCCATAGAGTTCGCCGGAGAATTGGGGTTCGGGTCGCTCAGTAACGACTACGGAAAATTTCAAATTAATACACACAAAAAACTTTAATAATCTTGTAGAATAAGATTGTAAAATTCTAAATTAATTCTTTTTCCGTCCGATAAAAACATGTTTTTGGACTATTAATAAACCCTATTTACATCTTATCAGTGCTATTTTAAACTAATAATTTTTTACGTTGCTTGAAAATTGAAGCTCGCTTATTTTAATTTTGTTCTGAGTCAATTATTAAAAATCTTCCTCGATATTGGTTGTTACCAATTATTATTAGTCAGAATAAAATATCCAAGAGATTTAGTAGATCGTACATTAAATTTTGACAACAAAGTCATAAAATAAGAAATTGTTTTCATCATTTTGGAGGCTTATAAAATATGTGTCATTATTTTACTAAGTTAAAATTGGTGTAATACATATTCATTTTATATTTGATCTAGCAGGCCTGTAATATCAATTATGGTAGCTACGTACTAGATTCAAAAGCTAGTTTCGCCATTATTGTTATTTTTTTGAATGAAGCAACCCATTTAATAAACATGTTAAGAATTCTTAAATTGCTAATTATTTTATTAACTTGAATTTTTTTATTAAAACTGTTAAGAAACGAAAATCTAGATTTTTCCGTATTTATTAATTTTTGTTTAACTGATTTAATTTTTATTGAATTTTTGTGATTAAGACATTATGCAGATCATTTACGATTGAGACAAAATGATTATTAAAATTGTCTACTTGATGAATTAATTAACTATTTTTTTTTATTTATTTAGGTTTTTTACTTTTTTATACTTAAAGATCTAGCAACATCTGTCATTAAAATGTCATTTATGATAACAGCCTTCTTGATAAAGTGACTTCCCTAATTGTAGACATTTTATTTGATTTTTTATTGCTACTAAATAAATTCTTTTTATTTTTAAATTCATTTAGCTTATCCTTGATCTAGTAGGCCAACAAAACATATTTCTGTCAAATTTGACAGACCACAGCATACTAGATAAATAAACTAAAATGTTTTGTCTTTTTCGTCATGTTGTAGTCCAAATGCGAATCACTTCAATGAATAGTTATTTTTAACTCGATTTATTTTTGATATTCACGTCTTATGTAATTCTATTACGGCCATTACTGACTAAAATTTACAATCAACCTTGAATTTTCCACAAAGAAAAAGTTAAAACTTGCGATTATTTAATTAGAAAAATATAATAATTGGAAACGCAATTTTAAAATAATTTCCTTTGTTTGATGCATTTTGACCATCTTACAAATAATGTAAATAATTGTTTTTTTTACTGGTGTTGTAAGCCGGGTTGGATAATTGTTTTTTTTCCAAGAAATGAGCCAGACTCGGACAGGTTGAAAAAGCGAAAAATCGTGCAATTGAAGGTTAGCTGTCAATGACCTACTTACTTGAATTGAAGTTAAAATAGCTGAAACATCATACGTGGGGCTCCACCTGTTCTGTAAAATGTCTAAACAGATGCCCCCATCGGCATATACGTTGGGATGAAACATATGACTCACGAATCGGACCGTGGGCGGTTTATTGGGATATTCTTCTGTGAATTCGATAGTTAATTTAAAAGTGCCATCCTCGAAGGGCGTATCGTGGGGGCCGAAAATGACAGCGTTCCATATCATAATGTTATTGTCTGTGGGGGCGCCGCTCACTCCCGTCGGGGGGTCCTCCTGCAACCTGGAATCGCATCGAAATTGAGGAAATGTGGGTGGAAAACACCGTAATTGGGGGAAATTGGGCGAAATTGTTGATTACGAACCGTTTGAAGTCTCTCATGAGGCGTCGTCTAGCCGGAGTCGACATTTTTTCATAAAATAAATTAAATAAAAAACTAGCTAAGGGTGTGGTAAAGCGGCTAAATTATACAAATACGGAAATTTACAACTGTACAAACTAATTTATTTTACTTCTAAAACACTATGAAACTCGCACTCGCATGACAAACGAGAAAGGACGACTTATAAACAAAAATAGCACTAAGATTAGTGAAGATGATGAATAGGTTATTCCAACTAGGGATTTTCGACAAAAGTCACTAGAATTTTAACACCAAATTCTTTAAAAACGACCTCAGAAGCCAAAACCAAGACGAGTGAAGTTATTTAGGTTCAAAAAACGGTTTTGTGCCACTTTATACTTCACTCATGACACGATATTTATTAAACAAACAAATTTAAAAATAAAGTTTGCAACCATCAAATTTGTCTCTTGTGACACAAGCACAGTTGGTTGCATAATCATAATAAAATAAAACAGTTAAAAAACAATTTAACTACATTTTGTAATAAATAAATAGGTATTGTAATTTTAAAAGTTAACTAATTAATTTCATCTAAAATTAATAAAGCAAACACCAGATTAATTTTGGGTGACAGTATCCGATGATTGCATTTATTTTGACGTTTAAACGACATTTCAATCAGCTGTTTTTGACACAAGACAGGTCAATGACCCCTCATTTGTAAATGTGTCCTTGTTTTCAAGTGCCTTTAATCTCCTTTTATAACAGACGCAATAAAGTTTAATAAACACCTCTGCTCACCTCACCAACATGGAATATTTATCAGGTCAGGACTCCCAACCGTTTAAAACCTCTCAAGGACTAGCATCTGTTGCAGAGCCCCTCAAAGAGCGTACCCTCGGTGACGGCATTGACAACTCAATTCTCAAACTTACGGAAGCCGCTCTGAGTCAGAAAATCCCAAAAATGAATCTCCAATTAAATAATCCAATTACTTTTAAACCAATAGAACCCAAACACCAGATCTACAATTTAAAACCTGTGTATGTGAGTAAAGAAAGAAAGCAGCCGAAGTGGCTCATCAGGAAACCTAAAGAACCCAAATTTGTACCATATGAGCCTTATAAGGGGGCTGTGGAGCCGATTATCGCTCACAAACCTGAAATTGTTAAAGCAAAACCCTCAAGAAATAATGTAGAAATTCAGGATTTGGTAAAGCAGATGACGGATTTACGGTGCGCTGAGTTGAGTAAAGCTAATAAGGAGGCGGTGCAAAACGAGGAGTTTATCCCGAGGAGAAAATGGGAAGAGGAGAAGAGTGCCTATGAAACTGATATTAAAAATTTGAGAGAGACTAACTCGCTTTTAGAGAACCAAATCAAGTTTCAAACCCAGGTTTTAGTCACTTTTGCTTGAAAATCTTCTTGAAATTATTGTTTTTAGGTGAATAGTGAATTAAAAACATTGCTAGTGGCCGCAGTTGGCGAAGATTTGGAAAGTCGAGTCCAACACTTAACTGAGGACAAGTTGCAACTAGCAAGAGCTTTGCTCAACTCTGCAAACCATTTGACGTCACATCAGGAGCAAACTGAGTGGTTGTCGGGGCAGTGCGAGGTTTGGAGGAGCAAATTTCTGGCTTCAAGGTGACAAAAATAGGGAAAAAATCAGTTTTTAATCCCAATTTTTAGTCTAATGGTTGAAGAGTTGGCCCGATGGAAGTCTGCTCTTTCAAACCGCATTAACGAGTTACAAGAGGTCTCTAAAACACTCCTTGATGAGAGATACCGAGTTCAGAAAAAACTAATGAAGAGTTGTGTTATTTTGCACGGGGTTGAATCACGCCTCTGTGAATCTCCCAAACCGCGAGAAACTCCCAAAACTTCAAGTATAGTCGATTTGAGTCACGTTATTTGTGACCTTAGTCAAGAAATTAGCAATTTAGTTACTAGTGGTAAGGAGAAAAGTGACGATTTGTCTGGGATTTACTCAAGTTTAGGTCAATATACTCCAGCTGAGAGAAATGCAATGAAGGTTGTTTTAGTACTTTTTTGTCCAGTCATAACAATTTTTTTTAGTTGCTACAAAATCCAGTCACGATCTCAAATAAACAGGATGCGATTTGTAACGCTTTAATGGGGACTGCAATGTCTTTAAGTGGTGAACAGGTATATCTCAAACATCCCTCCAATCAGGCAAGCTGTTGTCCACATTGTACTGGAGAAATTAAGAATATTTGATATTAAGTTTTAATTTTTTTTTTAATTTTTTATACAATAATAAATAATTGTTTGCTATAAGATGTTTTATTTGCCGTTTCCTTAAAACAAATTGGTTTTTAAGTAAAATTGAAAATTAGATTGAAATCATAATTTAAAAAAATATATAAAAATGTTTAATTATCCAATATTTGCTTTACCTCAGCCAGGATATTTTGACAAATGTTTATGTAACTCAAGTCAATAAACAAAGTGATTTAGCAATTACTCAAATTTTACATTTGTATAAGGTTATCAACTAAATTAAATTAACCAATATTTACTAGAAATAAGTGTTATCGATAGATTACAGATTGCTTAATTTTTTTTCGGTTATTACCCTTTTTGCAAGTACATTGAACCTTATAACAAACTCTTATAATTAATACAAAAAATTAAATAAAAATATCGAAATAAATTTCGTCAATGTAAGCCACGCTTTATTGTCATTATGATTGACTTTTGAAACTAAAATTTGAAAGTTTTAGTTGAAATTTATTTTTGGCGTCGATTTTCCGAAACAATAATGCCAGCAATACGTGTTTTTATATAAGATCAATAAATTATTTTGATTTGTTGTCATTTTTTCTTTCGCTCTCAGAATAAAAATTACAAAAACCAAAAGTGAGGTTAGTTGCTTAAGGCCCATTTTACATTTTTATGTTAGTCAAATGACAAATCGTCCAAAATTCCCTGTCCGGCAGGTAGAAACGATTCTAATATTGTTTGTTGTTATATTTACTGAATTATTAATTAATACAATTAACACACAATAATTTCTAATTTCTTACAGTGATGTTTTTTTATCGTTTTTGCTTTTGACAAAACCGGTAGAGCATGTTAACAAAAATCGGCCAGTGTGAGTCGTTCTTACACTGAAACTGAGATGACTGTAGTTTTTTTTTTTTTTGAAAATAATGTCTTAGCCTAGGTATTTCCCTCCTTTGCTTTATTCCACAAGCACCCTTAATTCCTCCCGACAAACATCTTTGTTTCGTCCTGTTTTACACAAACGTTTTGCTTATTAGAAAGCTTCAGTGTTCTCCCCTTTCCGGAAAACCATTACATCTTAAAAACTTAATTACGCCGTCGCCTCTGTATACAAAGCTTGCCAATAGTGCAAAGACAGTTCATTATCTTTTTAGTAGTAGTTCGATTGATAAGAAGGGCCGGTTTCCGTGGGCGTGCGGTGTCACTCAAGTGTATTCGCCCTAAAGCTGACTTGCTAATTCTCAAGCGAGCAACTCAATAACGAGCTTTCAAAAGACAAAGTCAACTACCCTCGCCGTATCCCGGAACTTTCCACTAATTACAGTTGTAATTCATCTTGTACTCCCAGTTCTGAGGCAAAACTTGAATCTGCTTATACCGATGGAGATGGATAAGAATAACGGAATTGCGAGGGAGCGAAGGCTACAGAAATGCTTTTATTTGATCTGTTGATCTCAATTTCGAGACGTCTTTTAATAAGTCTTTAAAACGAGAGATTAAATAAGAAATAATAGCAATAAAAACTTGTATTGTGTTTAGATCTTGACTACTTAGATTGAGGATTTTTTGATTTTGTCGAAAGTGAAGGAATTGGCCTGCAAAAGTTTACAACTATAGTTTTCTATACGTACAGTTGGAGACAAAATACTTTGGTCGTCAGTGTCACTTGAGTGACATTAAATTGTAAAGCATGCTTTAGGCTGTTAACCTTATTTTTAACTTCTGTCAATCATAGTTGACAAGTTGTATGTACATATTTTTGATAGGAAAATATAACAGCTGTCATTACTTTGAAATTGTCATTCATTTTAACGTTAAAGCTTGAATTACATTAAAGTGACGACCAAAGTATTTTGTCTCCAACTGTAAGACTACCACCCAAAGACGATGCGACCTTTACAAATAGTTTTTATAATATTAAGCTATTTTAATTCGAGTAGATTGACATTTCTATTTATTAGTGTTGCTCATAATGTTACTGATAATCTTGTACAGTTTATTGACTATTTTTTTGAATTGCCGGTGGGGGTAGTGTGAATCAAAAACACGACATGGCCTCTGTCTGTTTTTGACATTTGACAGCTTCTGACATTTTGGTACTATAGTCAAAAATTAAAGCTTCTCCCCAGTATTAGGACTTTTATAAGGCTTGTTATGATGATATAAAAATTAACCTCAAAAGAGTTTTCAACATAAAAAATTAAATTTATAAAAATGACCTACGTGACGGTGAGACACAATTTTGTCACTAGCTCTGCGTTACTTTAATTGCATTTGTTAAAGTGAGATAAATAGCGTGACTGCAGATACGTAGGGAGAGAGCCACAAGGCTGTTTACAAATGTTGAAAAGAAATAGCGATTTGGTATGTTTTTCGAATCACTAACTGATCCACAAGCACAAAGTAAAAAACAAACTTTATGTAGGTGATGTAATGTAATTATTTAGTAAAAAACAAAGGTACTAAATTTTTTCCAATAAACGTCACAAATAACATTAAAAATAATTAAAATTTATGATATAGCTTCCTTGTTTCCTCTGCCTGTAGCAAAAAAACTTTGAAGATTATTTTTTCAACAAAAATAATTAGAATCAAAGTGCAAAATTTAAATTCTCATAATGTCAAAATTTTTATAGCTAGAATTTAACATTTTTTCCATGTTCTTCTTCTTTTCTGAGGTGCGAGTTCTGAAACACCCATATAAGATGTCTTCAGAAAATAAAAATTAGTAAAAAAAAGTGCTATAAAACATGTGCTCGTGCTTTGAGAATTAAATTTTGTTTTATGTATGAGTTATGTGATTTTTTTGTCAAAATGACAACTTTTATATAAGTTTATATAATTTTGTGTGATAAAAATTGAATAAAATGTTGATAGTTGTAATCTTTAGATTATATAGCTTTTATGAAAGAAAGGTTTTTTGTGGGTTGCCATTTAAAAAAATTAAAAATTTTTCAAAACCCAAAAACAAAAAAAAATTGAAAAACTTTATTCTTGATAAAAAGTCACATTTTATTGTTCTTCACAATTCAATAACTAGTTTTTTTCAGAAAATAAATAGTTTAGGCAAAAACTTTTGGTTCATACTTTTATTTACTTTGTTCAAGCCAATTTGATTTTGTAGTCAAAAATTAATTAATTTTAGAATTGAAGTAAATATTATTAAAATGTTTTAATTAAATTCTGGAGAGGTTTTTATGAACAAACAGTAGAAAGAAGTGAAGCAAAAAAAAATAATGAAGCCAGTTCCAATTTGATACAACTGTGAGAGTATCTATTACTTGGACTAGATCTAAAAAATCAACTAATTTCAGTAGATAAAGTAGTCTTTTATCGTCTAGTGAAATAAAGTAATTTTTGTCTACTGTTTATATTCAAGAAATTCTGGTAGGTTAGTACAAAATAAAACGAAATATTACACACGACAATAAAGATTGACTTCGTCACTCGTAAACTTTACCTTTTCACTCGTAGATAAACAATTTCTTTACCGTCTTGTATAATAAATAACTATAAATGTACAAGTTTTAGAAAAATATGCGTGGTTTATAAAAAATGAATAGCAAAAATTTCTGAAACGACTTAGTGTAAAAACGTTGCAGTTTATTTTTGTCAGTGTTTTTTTTTTAATTGGGAGAAACTAAACATTTCACTCAACGAGTTTTCACCCAATTTTCGATAAGTTTAAGCCAAACAAACGTTTCAAGAGCCTCTCCTTTAAAACCCTAATAGTTAATCAAGTTAAACTCCGGTAATTAAACCGTCGCGTCGATGCGCCTGTGAGTAAATAAGTTTGACCGTCGAAAATCTTATGCAAAATTATTATCGATTGGCGAATTTAACGAATTATAGACGATTACAGTCTGCGAAACGTTTATGTGCTGAATCTCCCGGACGCATTGGTGCGAAATAATCTCTCGAAAGTTGAGTCTCACCCCCGAACGAGAATGTAGCAGCTCGGCTCAAAGCTGTACTTCCACTAATGGACTAACGATTATCCTGATTTCTGAGATGAGATGATAACTTTTTTGAAGTAGCACCAAACTGTTAAGCATTCAAACTTAGTCGGACGCATAAGCACTTGCCGGAATTCTGTTATAATTTCACCGATGATATGGGAATTGAGATGGAATCATGAGACACACATACGAATAAAACTGTGAAAACGTTTTCTACAGGTGCGCCAGAACTTGCGTCCAAGTTTTTTTAATACAGGCTATTAGAAAAGGAAACAAAAAAGCTGTACTCTAAATTGAGACTCTGTTTAATGTTATTTGTGGCTTTTATTGACAAAATTTTTGTACTTTCACTAAATAATTAGAAAAAAAAACATACAGAATGTTCCGTTTTTATTGGCACAAATTTGAACAGGTATAGAGGATGCGTCAGAACTCGCTCCCCAGAATAAGATAAGATACCAGGAACATGAAAAAAAAAATGTTTAAAAAATTCTATCTGTCAAAGAATTTTGACATTTATTTTTTGAAATTTGACAATTTTTTATGTCTATTTAATGATACTGATAATCTTGTATATGTTGTTTTATAATTATTTAGTAAGATACAAAAATTTTGCCAATAAAAGCCACAAATAACATTAAACAGAGTTACAGTTTAGGACACAGCTTCCTTTCTTCCTCTTGTAATAGCCTGTAGCAAAAAAACTTGGAAAATTATTTTCCAACAGAAATAAATAGAGTCAAAGTGCAAAATTTCAACTTTCATAACTTCGAAATTTTTATAGATAGAATTTGTTTAACATGTTCCTGGTATCTTACCTTACATGGCGCACTCTGTATATATTCAATTTTAAAGCAAAAGTTTCCTATAAACATGAATCAACAAATGTTATGTAGGGGAGCTTCACCCTCTAAAAAGGGTGCGTTTTAAACAGGGTTGTATCGAAAAAATGCAAAAGACCTCTATTTTGTGAAAGCTATGGAATTTTGAATTCTCTTGTTGAAAGTGGCAAGAAACTTCAGCCAAAATAGTTAGAATACTTTTTACCCTAACCCCAGTTTAAAAAAATATACGATTTTCAACTTAATT